TGTCTGCTTAAAAACCATGACTTTAAGAAACTACAAGCCACGCTTAGGTTGGGCCAACCAGGAGAAAGCTGTAGAGAATGCATGTTGGGAAAGAGTCCCTCTTCTGTCCCCGGGAGAGATGAGCCCTTGCTGGGGCTGTAACTAGCTTTGCAAAACACTTTGCAGCAAAATGAGTTCGTGTTACTGCTTGGGACCTTCTTCCCGTGCTGCCCTGCCTCTGCTTTGGGTCACGCTGATCTGCTGCCTCTTCTCTGGTGCCAGCACAGCTGTCCCTGAAATTCCTGCCATGAGCTACACCAGGGAACTCCTTCTAGTGGTAACTAGGAGGGAAAAAAATGAAATGGCATTCTGATCCTGTTAGGTCATGAAACTTCAGAAAACTCCAGACGGCTCAGTGAAATGTAACAGTACCCATCTGGGGATGGGGAAAAGAGGAACACAAAAATTAAAAAAAATTACCGAGGTGACCAGGAGTTAGTTGAGGACTGGAAAACCCCATTCTGTCATTCTGGAGCTCATCCAAAAGGTCATCCTAACATTCATTCTCTTTGTATTTGTGGTAACCACATGCCAGCCCAGTGGAGATGAGGGCATCTCTGCTTTAAGCCGTCTGTAAACACYGTAGGAGAAAGCCCATGTCCCATAGATATTCTGATGTAATTGAAAGGAATCAGATACCTTACGAGTGGATGAAACCTCTAAAATGCACACTAATTGATGCTCAATTTGCTGTCAAATTATATTGAAGGAAAACAGGAAAAACAAAACATGAAAATTTCTTGTAAGTGAAAGAAAAAGCTGTGAGTCCTAGGCATTAGGAAGCCTTGTAATATGATTCATTGATGTGCTCTACAGGTTGCTGCAAAAACTGAAATACAAGCACAGAATTTCAAGTAGGTACTATTTACCTGTGATAGTCTATTAAGTTATTGTAGATACCACTGAGAATGAACTGGGAAACAAAATCTGCTCACAATACTCTGCACTGGTATAGCTGAATATTAATCCTGTCACCCCATGTCTCTCAATTTTTGTGACTTCCAGGGACTTGCATAAGTATATGCTAAAAATGCAATGTGCTTTTCTTTGAAACTGTTGGGAAAGTTTTTCAAATGCCACATTGGAAAATTTAAATAACTGATACAATACATCATATCAACAGGTGAAACAGTAATATATGCAAGACTACAAGCAAATAGAGCATCTTTTCTTTGTCATCAGTATTATCAATATTTTTATTTATGACTAAAAAAACCTACCTAAATGATCAGAAATATTTTCTTTTCCTCCCAAAGTATCCTAAATCTCCTTGTGCACATTTTCTTTTTGGCACAGTTTGCTCCTTTTCAGTAAAAGGCAGCCAAAATTCTTAAGTCTCAGAAGAATCAACATTCTTAAATGTGTAATTTAGATTCATTTTAACCAGAGATAATTAAAATATTTGCTTCCAGATTACAGAGTTGTTACGTGCTGTTAATTTGGATAATYGGTTTTTTCAACATTCTTATGCAAAACAGAGCTGGATTCCAGCTTTAAATGAAGGTGTGTGCCGGAGCACATGTAGAGGACTCTCATCAGTATGTCCATTTATTTTCTGCAGGTCACCTGCTGCAGAACCTCACAGCAAAACCAGGGGAGGTCACYCCAATGGAAGGGACAATTCTGCACAAGCACACTAAGCAGTAAATCCCTTCTTTTTTCCTAAAAATAGAWGTGAAGCCAGGAGCAGAGGCTTTTTTGCACACATGGAAATTTTCAAAAACCATAAAAGTAATCAAGATCTTGCATGTTGCAAAACCGGTGTGTAACCATTACAACCAAACAGAAATGCATAATTAATTGAATTATAATTAAATACAAATCACAGCTTGGAAGGAGTACAACTTTACAACAGCTTTTCAGCGTTCTAGGATTACTTGAAAACTCCCCTGCTTCAGCTTGTGGTAACTCCCCTTCTTCCATTTGTGGTCATAAGTAGAATATGGGTTTTCCATAGAACAGTTTTAGATTTCTTTAAATTAATGTTTCATAAAATTGTAATGAAAATTCCCTTGCAGAAATCTAATTATAAAGTTTGTGCAATTTTTCTTTTTTTTGTTCTGTTTTCAGTTTTCTTCTRTTTTCTGGAAAGAATCTCTTTGTCTGTCCAAGATCAAGCTCTTGTGAGCACATGTCCTTCCAGCCACGGTTTTCAGCCTCCCAGAACAGGCTGTGGTGGGCCCAGGAGGGACCCTGAAGGTAATTGAGGGAGTGGAGGATGTCARATGGGGAGAGGCTGAGAGAGCTGGAACTGTTCAGCACCCAAAAGTGAAGGCTCAGGGGGATCTTATCAAGGGATAAATATCTGAGAGGGGAAGTAAAGAAGATGGAGCCAGTCTTAGTGGTAAGGGCAAGAGTCAATGTCGGCAAACTGAGATGCAGAAAATTAATCCTATTTAAACATAAGAAGAAACTTTCACCTTCAAGCAGTGGAAAAGGTTGCCCAGAGAGGTTGTGGCATCGCTGTTTGTGAAGATATTYAAACTGCTAGGGAAGATGTGTGCTAATGTCTTTACAAACAATTCCATGGACAAGGATATGGGTGTCAACGCCTTTGAAATGGATCTTCATGTCTCTACCAACTGCAAACCGCAGTTTGGTTACAGAGCCAGCCGACCTCACCCCTGAAACTGATAAATGGGGCTGCACAAGGCTAAGTTCCTAAACTTTGGGGGAAAATGACAGTTCCAAGGGGTATATGTGACAGGCGGTTTGGGTTCGGGCAGGCTGTACCATGCTTGTACCTCAGGCAGTGGGGAAAGGAAGAGGGCAACCTGCAGCCGGGAGTTTGGGATAAAAGGAGCTGCGCCGTCTGAAACCTTGAGAGGGAAACCCTGCTGCCATGTGCCCCAGGAAACTCTTACCCCTTTATTCGAATAAAGTTGCGGGACTCCTCTGTCTCCTTATGGGCACTGGCTTTTCATAGTGTGATTTTCCATACAAAACCACACTCATGGTTCTGAGCAGCCTGTTCCAGCTGTTGTTGCTTGGAGCAGGGAGCTTGGACTCCATGATTTCCAGAGGTGCCTTCCAACCTTAACTTTTCTGTGATTCTGTAAAATTGCAGTATTATTCCCACATTACAGAAACACAGGCATTGCCAAATCTGCAGAAACAGTAAGTATTTTTCTGTGTTACCCAATATAACCGCACACCTTGGCCTTGCCCCAGCCCAGGGGATGAAAATCAAACACACCACTCCTGTCTTGCACTGTGCTTTGTAAAGATGGGAAGGGAAGCGCTGGTCAGGAGCCACAGCAGCTGAGCTGAKCTGCGTGACTGGGACTGAGCACTGAGTCCCTGCAGGCAGGTCTGGATGCAGCCTGAAAGACTGATGGCTCCATTCAGAATTCCCATGATAGCGTGAATGACAAATTTAGGGTCCTGCGACATCCCGTGAGATTAAAAATGACAAGCAAGTGAGATTACGTGTTTTCCATGGCTGCCAGATCTTGGCATGCAAGAGACTCAAGGGAGAGAGGTTATCCTTGAGAGAGGCATTTATCACACACTCTGGCCAGCCTTGGGCAAGATACTGTCTTGGAGAAGGTGTCAAAGTCCAAATTTCCCAAAACCTTAACAGCTGGACAATTCATCTTCTCTCCCCACTGCTCTGTTCATGTTACAAGAAAAATTCAGGTCATGGGAAGTTTATCAAACAGTTAGAGATATACACAATTAGTTTATTTAAATAAAATTTATTATTTGGTAGGCTTGAGCACAAGCATGTGAATTTCAGAATAGTTCAGGTTTGCATCCAAAGACTTGAATTCCCATTRTTAGGGCATTCACTGAACAGCAGAAGTCATACTCAAATTAATCAAAACTAATTTAACAATTACAAAACCAGCAGGATGACTTCATTGTCATTTGCCACTAATGACAAATGTTTATTACAGATAGTGTATTTGTCTTCTGAGCTATTAAAAYACTGTTTGCTATTCATAACTCCTAAAACCTTTSCTGTAAGATGAAGGATCCATCATGTTCTTGGAAAATGAGCCAAGCTTGTAGAAATACAGCACCCCTCCCTATTCTCAATCAATCAAATCTCTGAGAGAGAGGGAGACTGATGAGAACAACCTACTTTTCTGTGCGTGGCATTCACTGAATGTGAAAAGGGGTTTCAGCAGGACCGGGAAAGTAGCTGTTGTCATGACAGCACTGGGAAGCCCAGGGACTGAAAAGATCTTCATCAGCTCACTGCAGCAATTCTGTGCCAAAGGAACTGTGCTGCCTGTCTGCATGCTGACAACAGAGCCAGGGGAATGCCTGCCTGTCAAACCTCCGCGGTTTTACGCTGCAAACTTCCCCGCTCCTGGCCTCTGGAGCTGGAAGATAGTTGCAATCTGGCAAAAATGGATCTCTCCAGCCGCCCTCCTCCCCCTTCAGTACTCCCCGCACCTTCTGTTTCTCTTGCTGGTTTAACAGGGGCAGCACCCAGCCTCCCTGCACTCCCTTTTGCCACAAAATGCCGTGCTGAAGGCAGTGGTAGCCTGTGAAAAACCTAATCAAATACCAGCACATTCTGCAGTCTAACTCCATCGATGTAATGACTGCTACTTCTGTGTCCTCAGTGTGAGGGACCAGCGTGTCTTTATGCCTGGCAGCTCTGGGGCAAGAGGCTGGGGATTTCTGTGCCAGGATCAGATCCTGGAGGTCATACCTTGGCAAGGGTGAATGTTACCTGGTCAGCTCTGGCCACTCCAACCCAAGGAAGTGCATTGCCTTTCACACAGGCTTAGGCAGCCTGCTGTCTGTGTCAGCTGCCCACTGTAATCAGCACAAGCACCCATTTGGGGAGAAATACGAGATTGCTCCATTCCYAGTGAAGTTTTATTTTACAGAAATGGCTAAAAATGGTTGCTGCATGGGTGAGATCCTCATAATGTAGACAAGGAAAGAGAAAGTGAGGTCTTTTTCCACGGTGCACATGTTGTTTGAGTTCCAATACTGTTTATTTGAAGCACTGGGAAATAAGAATATTTGGAAACTTGAATTATGCCCAGCCTGGTTATCACAGATGGAACGAAAACTGAATTGAGCACTTTACACCCAATCTTGCAACAGGCACCTTTATTGCAAACTGAATGATCAGAGATGTGTGCTCTCAGATGCATTTTACAAGCRCTGTTGATTGCAAAATTCACATTGACCTCAGTGGGCCCAGACTGTCAAACTCAGCCCGAGAGCTGGGGAATGAAGGAGTTTTGAGGAGCTCCCCACAGCAAATCCTGATGTCCTAACATTAATGCTTCTTGGAAGTGGGGACTTGGCCCCTACGACACAGGAGAACCCTAAGTTGCACTGTGACCCCTCCATCATTCAGAATTTCAATAGTTCAGGGGTGCACTCTCTCAAGAAGCCTGGAATACGTGGCAGAATTGGGATGTGCCCTACAGATGCACTGTGTGTCTTCTAACAGGCAGAGCAGCAATTCTCCTCTCCTGAGTTCTATTCCCAGCTGAGTCGCTCCCAGATTCTCCAAACTGCATAGGGGTGGGCAAAGCATTTGAACAGGAATTACCCAGCAATTTATGCCTGGTTAGAAGGTGCATGAGGGAGTCTCTTTCCCAGGATGGCTCTGAGGTGTCGTTGTTTGCCTTTGAAGCCTTGCAGTGAAAGCTGAACACACAAGTGCAGTGTTCTCAACAGGGATGGGCCTAGCTTTTAATGCCATCATGCTTTTGAGTCTAGTCAGTCTTTTAAAACGGCTTTTTTCAGTCAAGGTGAACGTTCTTAATGATGCTGCTTAATGGTGCTTAATGATTTTTGCCTAGTGACACATGCAAACTGGATTCAAGAAACAAATGCTACCAGCACTTTTTCTAGGCAGATCAGTGCCCCAAAACCACCTACTATTATAGTGAAGTTATAGTAGGAAAAGGGGCACTATATATTCTTAGCAAGCTGTTGCTCTAGGGGCTGCTGTCAGCAGCTGTTTGGCTTTATATTACATTTAACTGGATAATTTATCAGAACCATCATCTTTGCAGCTGAATTTCTGTCTGGGTTTGGCAATGCTAAGTATTTGTTTTGTCTCCATGAAAAGTGGATTCAGCTATTTAAAGCCTGGAAAATAGAGGAAGCTTTTAGAGCAAGGTGAAAAGAAGTTAATTTTAAATATGGTGAATCTTACAATTCATGCCTATTTGTCTTACATAAAGCTGGGGACTCTTAAATTGAGGAAACTATTTGATTTAGGTTGTGCTAGTGCATAGGAGGTACAACAAAGAGGGATTTGTCATAGAAGTGTAACTCAGGCACTGAAAGCATTAAGGTACCAGCTCTGTAGAGAGCGATGACCTACTTCTGCCTTGTTTCTTCCAAGGAAAATCCTTTGGCACCACTTCAGGCCACGRTTTCTGTTCTCCCTGCTATCTTGAGGACCTGATCTTACACAAAAGTGCCTCAGACACATTCACATCCCAGTTTCTCAAGCCCAAGTTTCACGTAGAGAGGAAGCAAAGAAGCCAATTTAAAATGGGACTTCACAAAAAAAACCTCCAAACACTCTCCTCAGCATCTTTCATAAATTAAGTGCTGGACCAATGTCCATGAACCACTTGTTTTAAATTTTTCATAATAGTAAACAATTTGGAGTAAACAATAGTAAACAATTAAAATTTTGCATTTKAATACAGTCAGATTCTGGGACTTTCTTATACTGCAGTAAGTGATCTCAGTCCACCACCTGCACTGTACTCTGGTACCTTCTTTTGGCATATTGCATCATTTTCATTTCCACTACATGCAACATATTCTCGTTGGTGTATGTTCTATAGTAAAACCTCAACAACCCAGTTTACATCATGCTTAACAAAGTATGACAAAATAAATGCTGGTTTAAAAGCCATATAAATATTGAAACACGAATCATTTGAAAGTTACTCCCCTCCTCCCTTATCTAATTATGCTGTTAATAAGCAACATGCAGAATTTCAGCTGAGATGTGGTAACCACAAGAGATTAGATCCTTGCACAAATTCTCTTCTGTATCATAATGTTTGCAGTGGAAGCATGTTTAACTTTAAATCATGCAATCTGTCCACACAAAACCTAAAKGGCTGTTCCCATCTGGGCTCAGATCTGCTGCATCAACACAAATTCTGTGGCCCTGGTTATGTGCAACTGCAGGTTAGGCCAAGAACATATTTTCTCTGCTTTGCAGTAATTTGTCTTGTAGTTTCAGTGCAACATGATTGCTCCCTTTTTACCTTTAATTGTTGCTGTGCACCATTAGCAGCAATACCATGACATTTAGAAGTCACTTTGTCTTTCCATTTGGTGAAGCAACCGATTTTATGGGCAAAAGAAGGCTCTGAGATGTGTCTGCAACCCTGCATAGAAACCTGTTTATGCAAAGTCCTACCAAGAACTTCTTTCATTTAGGTTAAAGGATCAAGTCCTTAACATTTGAAAATACACAATAAACACACAACACTGCATCATTGAGTAGGAAGGTTAATAAAAATACAGCCTGGCATTAACATTAAAAAGGCTCTAGATTTTTTCTTCACAGGTAATTAGTTCACACAATGAAATAATCTCCTTTCTTATCCTAGAAACACATGCATAAAACAGCTCAGATAACATAATTTACATACAGGCTGCTGCATCCGCATGTTAATGTCTGGCAGTGAAAAGTTCAGACAAGTTTGTAATCCCCGATTTCCTGCGCGTGCTCAGCACCCAGATTCCCAGAAGGAAGAGAAAAGGATACCAAATATTACTGAGACCACAGGGCAGCTGCAGCCTGCCACATCTGGACAGCTTTGCAAAGTTACAGAGTTTCTCAGACCACGGGGTCTTTGACAGTTCTGGGCATTTTTTTTTTTTTTTTTTTAACTCATCTTGGTATTTGTTCCTTTTGTCAGTCACTTCTGGCCGTGGCCATCATCCTGAGCCCATTGTGCTGCCGCCACTCGCTTTGTCCGCGCTGCTCCATCGCGTGGTATTGGGAGCAATCTGCATTCTCATTTAAAGCACTATCATGTCACCCATCAGCGAGCGCTCGCTTTCATCCCTTAAAACTCCCTCACAATGGCAACCACGCCGTGAGGACAAAGGCCCGGGCAGAGAGGGAAAAGGAGGGAAGCTGCACTGGGAAAGCAGCAGCAGCAGCTGCAGCCGGGAGAACTTCTGGGTGAGCACTTGAACTTGGACTGGGAACACCCGTGCCCTTCATCTCCTGCTTTCCCCGCTCCYAACACAACTTATGTGTCCCGTTCAGACACGGCAGGGAAGCTCAGCCCGGCAGCTTCGGCACCAAGAGCAGGAACGAGAGGGTTTTTGCAGCCCGAGCCAGCGAGCCCGTGCCTCCCGCCAGCTGCAGGAGAGAGGGAGGGCTGCGGGGCCGGGCAGGGAAATCCTCCTCCTCCTGCGGGAATGCC